TTTTTATCTTATAACCTGTTAGATAGAGAAGCAATGATTTTTAAATTTTATATTTAATATTATCAACTCAAAATAAAAACTTTGACTTCTCATATTTAACAATTTAAAACCGAAAATAAAATAAAGACACCCAAACTGGTATAGAAGCAGGGCTTCGATAATTTCGCCGTGCGAAGGTTACCATAATCATTTGCGGATGAAGCTGTAATGACAATCGACGGTGATGACAGGTTTTTTAAATTTTTACTTTAAATTCAGTTGCGTTGACTCGACTGAAGGCGGCGGGGTTCTCATTAAAATATTCTTATAAGATAGATATTATTGACCCATTAATATTTTAAACGTCGTAGAAATAGAAGTGGGAGTTTAAGTAGAATATCATTTAATAGAAAAATATAAAAAACAGTGCAAATGAGACAGATAAATTTTTATTACGACAAAATGAAGTGTATATATGTGACAACTCATAATAGAATGATTGGATCTTATCAAAGTTTATATTCCTATATTATCATTATTACTATTATTATTAGTAGTAGTAATGATTGCTTTTAAACTTTATTTTCTTTTCAAAATTGTTAATTACAATATAAATGAACAAAAAAAAAGAAATATTATTGTCATCGCTAATTTAGCCGTTCTTGTAAATATCAATTTTTAAGCTAATAAATATTTTCCTCCCAACCTCATCTCCCTCGAAAATGTACATAATATTTCACTATAAAGAAGAATTTGAAAGAAAAATTGGTAAAAGTTAGTAACTTCTTAAAATAAGGACTATAATTCAAAATTATTAAAATAAATAAGTGAAAACCATTATATTTATAAAAATATAATATAGCACAATAAAATTTATAACGGAAAACCCAGCCTAATGTTTTCCTTACTATAAAAAAAAATCCCAGATATTTGCACTTTCTTTCTTCCATTAATATGTTAAATGAATTTGTCATGTTCCTACAATTTTAATTTCACTTAGCCATTTTTATAACTTTTGTTTAAAAAAAATTTATTAAATTTATATACCTTCAAAATGATATAACAATTTTTTTTTACTCATTTTAACAACATCCGTATACATTGGACAGGCAATGCCAAAATTCATAAACTTTTTATTTATTTTTTTGGTTTGGATAAAAGTATTCTAAATAATATCAATCTGTTTGCAATGTATTAACCTATTATTTATAAAAAACATAGTCAGAAATTTTAGTTATATTTTATTTTAATCGTGAGGTTTGCCATAATTTGTTTCTTAATAGTTTTTCCTTTAAACTGGTTACTATACTATACTGTCTAAAACATAAAGCATTAAACAATAACATTGATTTTTGAATTAGTGCTTATAAAAGGAGAGGCCCGCCCGAAGCCATAGTAAATGGGGGTTATGGGGCTTTAAATATAGTCATAACCCCCTCCTTGGAGAAATCTAGGTACACCACGGTATGTAAATAATTAAAAGAAGGTGGGAGGGGGAGGTATACTTCATAGTCTTAGAGAGGTATAATAATAAAAAAAGTAAACTGTTTATTAATGTAATTTTTTTAATTCCACATAATTTAAAGCTCTAGCCTTAAAACACATCCTATATAAACTTTAAAAAGCCAACGCCTCTTATATATCTCACTAGCAATTAAATAGCTGATAATTATAAAAAATTGCCAATGAGAGCCGCCAATTTAAATGTCAGTATTTTTTTTACAATAAAATACATTCGAAGACTGCGTCCATATTATATAATTGGTAATAATACATATAATCTAACCAATTCAGCCATATATTAACAACCAATTATTTTCGCTAAAAACACATTGCTAAACGACGAACAAACAAAAAAATTTTTTACAAGTGGGGAATTACTAAATGAAGCATTCACATCAATTTAATATTATCATATGGGGCGAATATATATTTTTTTTATTGTCCAAGCTATCTTTCACATCAACATAATAAGGGTCAAGTTTCGTATAATGAAGTGATAGTCTTATTCAAAATAATTCTGGTCCCTTAACGGTCTTCATTGAAAGGGCTATCGCAATACTTAAAGAGACTTTTGATAAAGTATCTCCACTAACCTGGGACTCATTGGATAAGGTCTACTACAATATTTGAGAATTAGGGGTAGAATGCTTCTTCGAAATATTTTGCAACGACAAAGTTTCTATGCCCTTTCTCGCGTATCATGAGTCTCCAATCCACACATTGCAATAAAAGCTCCTTTGAAATTCCAACAAATTATCTATTACGGGTGCTGCCTTTTCAATGATATTTTGGCCAGATTTCCGTACTTTTGCCTGTAAATAATTTTTTGATAATGTCTGGGACATTGAGCCCACCATTTTATCTTTACTGGAAGTACAGCAATTCTATACTCGGCGATGTTATATTTTCTAGCAAACTTATTAAAATTTTTAGCAGTTATCATACCGTTGTCAAATTCTCGCAACGAAAAGATTGTTTGCAAAATTAAGACTGTGATCTAAAATTGTCAAATCTAAAGTCAATTCACCGAATATAAAGGTAGAGGAAGTAAAGAGAAGGAATGTAAACCGTGGCCGAAAGAGGGTCGAAGTTAGTGGTTATAGATATAGAATCAAGGAGTGTAGTGATTGATATCATACAAGCTACTTCAAGGATCATTGCAAAAATCTATATTATAAAATTGGTGCTCTTTTGAAATGGTTACCCACTCCATGTAACAAAGCTTAATACTTACTTAAATTTGATATAGACATTTACTTGAGGTTAGATATTTTGATGAGTGTGCTAGAAAATATAACATCGCCTAGTATAGAAATTGCTACTTCCAGTAAAGATAAAATGATGGGCTTAATGTCCCAGATATTATCGAAAAATTATTTATCAGACAAAATTATGAAAATTTGGTAAAAATATCATTGAAAAGACAGCAACAGTAATAGATGATTTGCTGGGATTTCGAAAGAACTTTTATTGCAGGTTAGCGGAGATAAAAGTCTCTCGAATGTAACTCTTGGCCTTTTGTCAATGAAGATATTTTTTGGACAAGAATTATTCCAAACAAAATTTTGGCCCTTAATTAGACGAATCTTAATAATCGTTACATATATAAAGAAGATAATTTGTACAAAAGTGTGAAATCTTTGATAAAACTTTCATTTTCGAAATTCTTGTAAAAAAACACATTATTATTTAAAATCATTTATGCCATTTTATATTTAACGCATTTTTTTTAGTGTATTTTTTATGTTAACTAATGGTTTTTTATTAGTGAAAATATGGGTGTTGATTAAATTTATGATGAAGGTATAAATTTGAATGAATAACGCTAGCTTAGATTTGGTGCATGGATGAATTGCGGAAGAGGAGGGGGTAGATAGTTAAACCCCCGTTAATTTTTCCCCAATCTTTAGCCATCTTCCTAAATTTTGAGGAAAATCTGTAATATGCATAGACTAAAGCATCGACCAAACTCCATACATTGCATACAATTATAGCTATTTAAAATGATAGTTTTTCCACCAAACATTGAAATTTATTTTTTCAAATAAAAGTTATATAAAATACATCTACAAATAATTAAAGGGTTTAAAACATAGTAAAAAATTTAAAAAAAAAATCCAATTTATAATTTTTCTAGAAAGTATCAGGCAAGACCCGTCTTGCAAATATATTCTTTATATTCTAAGAGAAAATTGGCTCCCTGAGAATCTAGATGCGCTATTTGGACGAGAAACAAAGAAAAATAATCTGTCAACAGAATATCCATGTAGATATTAAAAATATTGCTTAACTTGTTTGGATATTTTATCCTGCAGTATGCTGCTGATAGTGCGAATTCGATGAATTTGATCATGATAGATTATCGAGCTTAATTTGTCAAATTGAATGTTCATAAATATTATTGGATCATAGATATTTGGAATGGATTTCCAGATTCATATATCAAAATATAGAAAAGAAATTATTACGGGGGGGTGAATGAAATATTTTCAACAAAAAAAAATTACACGCTAAAACAAAAATGAAGGATTTAAAGAAATTTTTTTTCTTCAATACATATTTATATATATATAATTTTAATTTGCTGAAAAATTTAGGGGGCTAGGCCGGGCAGTTTAAAAGGTTTAGCTGGTTGGGACGGGCACTTAATGGATAAAAATTTTAGGGCATAGTGGATAATTTATACATAAGTTATAATATCAAGTAGGGCCTCGGAAATATCACTCTATTTTGACATTTTTGTATTTCAAAGATATATTTTGTTTAATAATTGGAAAAATTATCAGTCATCTTAAAATAAAATTGTTTTGAGTAATATATAGTTTTTAGATTAAATTTATATGGAAAAAATTCTTTTTTTAAAACAAATTCACGAATAAATTATTCATCGAAATAAAATTTCATTATATCAAAATTGTATTAATAATTATACATGAGTGGATATAGTTTTAAGATTAAACGCTTATTAAGGCATTAGATGGTTTGCAGAACTTACGTAGATGAGCGAAACCATTGTAATCCACTCTAACAATCCGTGGTTTGAGCATTAATATACACTTATTAATATAGAGGTAATAATAATCAGAAATTGTTTAATGCAGAAATAAGTGTTTTTAAAATGGCTCAATTTTATAAAAAAACGGCTATCCTCAATATTTTACATGAAGATTTAGCACGTAGATGGCAAAACTTTTTGGTGATCTTTAAACAGAATTTTGAGGCTTGCTTAGTAATATTTTGGCTAAAATCTAAATTTAAAATAGGTTAAATCGAGAATATATTATTAATCAGAGTTAAAGACATTTTCGCAATTTTAGCTTATTATAGAACTAATCACATATTTGAAACTATACTAGATTTAGACCAATTAAAACCATTAACAAATAGGCAATTAATATAAACTATAAAAAAAAATTTATTCACGATTATTTTATTATATATATTTATTATTAATTGAAATCAAAAATATTTATAAAAGATAAATTTTGTAATAAGTTTTAAAAACGACTTATTTTATTTTAAAGATTCTTGCAAGTACATGTAGGACAACCATACGCATCCAATACTTGTCCATGGGCGCACTTGATGAACTTAAAGCAAGGCAAATCAGGACACTCTAATTTTCATTATTTTTTTTTGGTAAAATTAAAATAAGAACAACGAATATTTATATTTTTTAACGAAAACTCACAAAAGGGGGGGGGGGAATCTAAAGTTTCGAATGTTTTATTTGACATAACTAAATTGTAAGGGATAAGGTAGAATCCATGACATTGCCTAAGGATGAATTACCAAAATGTCCCTATAGAGGGAAATTTTTCAGTGGAAAAATATCTTCCACTTATCGCGCAGGGATAATCGGTGTAATATAGATTTTTATTTAAAAGTGATAATTTTTGTATCGGGAAACTTTTTCGAGATGACAAATTTAAAGATTCAGAAGTACTTTTAAGAAAACTGAAAACCATTTTTCTCAAATTTTTTTTGGTGGAGTAAATTATTCAAAATGTTGAATCTTTGTTGACCCGTGTACGAAATTAGAAATTAGGAATTAAAATTCAAAAAAAATATAAAAAAATTATGAATCGAAATAAAAATATTCCAAAAACAGGGATATGGAACCGGAATACTTTTTTTTTTAATCCAGATTCCAAAAACCACAAAAAGTTACTTTTTTTTAAAAAAAAAATTAAAGGAATAATTGTTAGCGTTGTTAAAAGGGGTCTATTTGAGCCTATTTTATAAGAAGGGTCAATTCAATATTTTAGACAGAAAAATATTGTACCCTAGGCCGTGAGATTTTGTTAATGGATGTTCAAAGCGTTATGACACATATGAGCCAAAATCTATAATATTTTTCCTAATAGAAATGTTAAGTTAATAAACCGGCTCAAAATAGCCTTTTAAAAACACTTAAAAATTATTATAAAAATCTTTAACAAAAAAAAACAAACCTTTTTTGGGGACACATTTGCATTCGCAATCATCATTATTCAAAACAAATCCCTTTTTACAAAATAAGTTGCAAGATTTTTTAGTTGGGCATTCTGTAAATTATAAAAATATGTTCTATTTAAATGGGATTAAAAATATATATAATTATTATAAAAATATTCATAATCTGTTTAACATATTTCTCATAAAATAAGATAAACATGATACCAAAATCAAAAATAATTAAATATAAGATTAATTAAATTTATTTTTTAAAATAAATAGTAAGATAAGAATTTTTTAAAGAAAAAACCGTTTAATGGTGGAATGCACTGACACAATTGACACCCTACGCTATTATAGATGAGACCATCTCGACATCTTATATTGCAAGGCTTATTTGACGGACATTCTGCGAATTAAAATATTTTATAACACAATAAACTAATTTTTTTCTTTTTCTTCTATAAAGTTTTAGAATTTTGCCATTTTATTCCTCTGGCTTTGGGCCTAATTAGGGGAAAAAATTAATATTTTTTTTTTGGATTGGGATTGGAGACAAGACACATTATCTCCAACCCCAATAACCAAGGTAGACAAGGAGGAGAGTGCATCAAAATGATATACTCCTCGCTGTAGTAATTTGAGGAGTATATTACATCACCCCTCTTAATACAAAAATCCTTCTCCATAATATGGTGACTTATTAAATAAGCTCTTAGAGATCCTATTTGGTTTTTCTAAGTGTTTGGTGGGCTCTATATTATTTGCGTTTTGACACAAAGTTTGGACACCTGGCAAATCTCGAGACTGTTTTAAAAAATCGACTCAAATCGAGTTCTTTAACAACATTATAACCGGCTATTTAAAAAAATAAGCCAAACCATGAGACCGCCGTTTAATTTAAAAGCGAATTTTTACTAATTATAATTATTTTTATTACCTTCGGCTTTAGGAATGCATTGACAATGTTTGCATCCCTTGCTATCGTAAATCAAGCCATAAATGCATTTAATGTTACATGGTATGTTAACACAGCCTGGAAAAGAGGTAACATTTAAAAAAAAATATTGATTTTTAATAAAATAATGTTTTCTGGCAAATTTTTGGGAACCTTAAATTTCAGAGAATTTTCTTATAATTATTCTTAAAAAAATTCAATATTAATTTTTAACAAAAATTATTTCCAAAAAATATTTAATTTAATTTATTTAAACGAGAAGAAAATAAAAATTAAATTTTTTGATGACCAGTGAAATCAAAATTTATTGTTTTATAATGTTTATTAAAAATGGATTTATGAAGGACATAAATATATAAAATTAAGTTTATAAGTCTAGTTTCAAAACTTGTTTTAGCTTTCACAACTGTTTAGTGTTGTTAAACGGCTCGTGAGCCGTTATTTTGCGGCTAACTCAATATTTTAGTCAGAAAAATAAAATATTGCACAAGTCTCGAGATTTCGATAATATATGTCTAAAAACTTTTGTTCCTTTAATGAGCAGAATCTTCAGACTTGCGTAATATTTTTCTGGATGAAATATTGAGTTAGCCCTCGATAAAAAATCGGCTCAAAACGAGCTGTTTAACAACACTAACTTTTACTTTTAGGCTCCATTTAGAATAAATGTTTTACCCAATTAATTGATTTAAAACTATAGACTTAAAACATCCCCTTTTTTTATGAATGCACAAATTATATAAATAAGTTCCTTTTTGTTTAACAGGGTTAAATATAAGTTGCATGCAAATGTATTTTAATATTTTTGTAATTATATTTTGAAAAAATGAAAATTTCTAACGATCTTACTGCTATAACTATTTTGATGGTAGGAATGGTACCCAACGATAGAGAAAAGGATTGGAATAAATGATAGTAGATGTCTATACATAATTTTTTTTTAAATATAATACCTTAATTTTTATTTTCAAAAAAAAATAGATTAAAAGTAAAGTTTATTTTGAAACTTCTAAAATAAAAATTATATTTTTGAAATCTATTTTTTAAAAAATCTTTATTTGAATAATAGACGAAAAAAAATTATCAAAATTTACATCAACAATTAAAAGGTCTTAAAAATTTGTTTTTTTTTGAATATTATGTTTTGGTCTGATAAAATGAATATACATATATATTTTTTTAAATATCTAGATGAACTTGTCTGAAGGTGATAATATATATAAAAATTTTTTTATACAAAACATTAAAATATAGTTATTTAAACTTGGCAGGGTTACAACACAAGAAATAACCATAATGTAACTGGTATTAAGTGGTCTAGAGGGAGTGTTTAAATATTTATAAAAGAATATTGTTTATTGATTATGACAATGTTTGTCATTTTAATATGAATTTTATTAAGGCTAAATTCCCCCCCCCGTTAAAAACAAAATACTATTCGCAAACTTTTGAAACTTTATTAGAAAAAATATATAAGCATTTTTTAAATATAAAATTTATAAACATGTCCAATATATAATTCTAAAAAAAATTTCAAAAAATTTAACTTCATCAAGATTTTAAAACTTCTGAAAGTTTTAAAACAATTCGAATTTTCAAAAAGATTTCGAACTTAACCTAAACTTGCTAATTTCTTTTAAAAAAATTTTATAAACCTTATCTAACATCGTTAATTTATTCTTATTTTTAAAACTTGTGTGACACATTCATTGCCTTGTCGGTCATACTTTTGCTTAAACTCTATACCATTGTGTGTTTTACCGTATTATTTGAAGCTTACATTTGTACGTACCAAAATTTTACAAACAAAAGCGCACTGGTGTAAAGCCATAAAAGCCAAGGTTATACCCTATGGAAACCCTTCTATTAGTTATTAAAAAAAAGAGAGGTAGAAGTACAATTCCTATCAAAAAAAATTTGGAGAGCCTTCTGAAAAAGTTTTCTAGTTATATATGCATTGAGCATTTTCAAAACACAATCCTTTTTATCTTAAATCTTCATTTTTAAAATCTTATAAGATCCAAAATCCTTATAAGATTTCCAAACAGAATTCGGGTACAATAATTTGTTATAGTGTAGCATATATTTCTTTAAAAAAAATTATTTATTTTTATGATTATTAAAACTTAAATAATAAAAATTAAAAAGCTTTTTGACATTCGACAATATTAACATAAATTTATATTTTTTCTTCTTTCTTAAAACATTTCATACATATACAAACACAATCAAAAAAAAATTTTTTTTTTTTTAAATTTAAATTTAAAACTAAGGTGTCTTCTTGCAAGTACAGTTAGAAGTATGACAACCTTGAGCATCCACTAGAAGTCCTAAGGGACATACTGACTCAGAGCATTTGGAATTTGGACATGCTAAAAAATAGAATTATTTTTTTTAAACCAACGTTAATATTGCCAACTGACCTTTTTTGGTTGTGGTTTTAGGTGATGGAGGTGGGCATTCACACAATTGACATCCATTGGAATCGTAAACTTGGCCATACTTGCAATTGAGGTTGCAAGGGGCATACGAACATCCTATATCAATAATTGTTAATCAGTTACATATTTTTTAAAAAAATATTTCCCAAAAATAAATTGTTTGATTTTATGCTGTTCCTAAAATCTGAAATTGGAATTGCCCTTCTTCAAAAGAGACCAAATCAAGATTTTTTTGGGGCAAAAAAGGAAATATTCCCTAAATTCTGCCTTCACAAGTTATCGCGAATTCGCGATACAAATATAATAATTTTACATCCATTTTTTGCATATATATTTCGCCGCGAATTCGCGCCAACTGCAAATTCAGGGTAGGGTAAGCTATTTCCCACGTAGCTGGCAATAAGGAACGTATGATCCCTTTTTTTTGAACCAAATCTCGTGGTATATTCATCAGCTAAAATTATCCTTTTTTAAAAGAATAATCTAAGAATATATATATTTTAAAGGAAAAAAAGGAAATAAAAACTTGGCGGAACGCATTCGCACCGCATGCCATCATTAAGTAAAGCGAAACCCTTTTTGCACGGTAAATTGCAAGGTTTATTGGGAAAGCAATCTACAAAATTTACGATATAATTTGGTAAAATAATTGATATGGATTAAATTTTTATTTTATCGTCATTGAAATGAAAGTCTTTAAAAAAGATATTCAATATATGTTTTTAATTAACATATCATAAAGGATTTTTGAAATTCTTAGGAATTACCTCTAGGAAAAATTAGGCATATTTATGTAGGATGTAGTGTTGTTAAATGGCTCGTTTTGACCCCTTTTTTTTAAAATGGCTAACTCAATATTTTATCCAGAAAAATATTGCAGAACCCTGGAGATTTTCTTCATAGAAGGAACAAAGGTCTAGGACACATTATATCGAAATCTAGAGGCTTAGAAAATATTTTTTCTGACTTATATTGAGTTAGCCGTTTTTAAAAAATCTGCTCAAAACGAGCCGTTTAACAGTAGGATGCAAATATTGACGGTTTTAATCATGACTCAGAGGACGAATATTTTATGAACTTGAGTTCACTCAAGTAAGTTTGGATCGATTTTCTTGACCCAAAACTTGTCTCAGTTTTTAACATTGTATCCTATCACAAAAATTTCATAATCTTGATCATAAAAAAAATTAAAAACAGCAATACTTAAGGATAGGAAATTTTTTTTTTTTTAAAAAGAATTTTAATAACAATCTTCAATTAAACCATTATTACAAATATTATATTGAAAATAAAATTTTTATTTCTTTTTTTAAAAAAATGACATTATGTAAGCCTTGTTTTTCTTAATATCTTATGGTTTAAAAAACAATTTTTTTCTTGTTTTTTTCATGCTTACACTACGAATAGTATGTTTATATGCAATTATTTTTTAAAATGAAACTAAGATATCTTTCTGGATCGCATATGCACCGGCATTCAGCTTCGATTAAATTGAACCCCGAAACGCAAAGTTTATCGCATGGAGGCTTTTTGTTTTGAAGACCTTGTAAAATTAAAATTATATATATTAAAAAATATTGCTTAATTTAAAAACAATTATATAATGTCTCATATTGAGGGTCTTAAAATACTCGTAATAAAAATTTATTGTAAGGATTTTAGGGAAATATTTCGGATTTCGTCTCAAATAAGTATCGGGTGGGAAAATTTCAGCAACGTTGAGTGGATCAGTTTGAATACATTATCCTCAGACCAGACATCTAATCTTATCGAGATATATAGTTATAGATATCTAGAACTATAAATTGTTAAAATTACTCTCTTAAAAGTAATATTTTCTTTAAAAAAATGAAAAATTATTTGTCACGGTCTTAAAAAAATATACAAAAAATGAAATGCAAAAAATATATTTAATTTATTATTCGAATTCGACTTAAAAAAACAATATGTTGTACTTAAACATTAATTTGTATTAATAAAAATACAATGTTGTTAAACGGCTCGTTTTGAGCCTATTTTTAAAAACGGCTAACTCAATATTTAGGCCAGAAAAATATTGGCTAATCCACGAGATTTGGATAATGTATGTCTAGAGACCTTTGTTCCTTTAATGAGTAGAATCTTCAGATTTACGTGATATTTTTCTGAATAAAATGGCTCAAAACGAGTCGTTTAATAATACTAATACTGAGCAATTTTTTTTTTATAAAATGTCATACTTAAAGTTTACAATTAAAATAAAATATCTTATTTATAAAATTATTAATTTAAACATTTGAAAGCTCATAGGAGGAGACTAGTGTTGTCTCAGGGCAGGTAATTTTTTTTTTAAAAAAACTTTGAGATTTCGAAATTTGAGTTCAAATATGTATTTTAATAAAGGTGCCTTGTTTCACAAATTGTTTCTTGAGAAATTTTAAATGCAAGTTTGAATTAATTTTTAACATTTTTACTAATAATTTTTCAATTTAAATGATAAAAATACTCAATTTTTTAAAAAATATTAACAATATTTATGGGAATTTAATTAATTGTGAAGACCTGGTGTAGATTTGGCGGGGTACGTATTAGCCATTTTTATGTAGGGAATATTTTAAATTTAAAGTAAATCTAACTAAATTTATAATTTTTTATATATTACATGACAGTTTTAAATGACAGCAAATTCTTTCGGGTGTTTTATATAATATGGTTGCAGCTGATAAATTTAACATATTTGACAATTTGTTTTCATTTATTTACTTAGTAATTAATATTTTTATATAAAAAAAATAAAAATAAAGGAGCGCCATGATACGCAACGCAAAGGGATAATAGATACCCCGGGTGTTTTTCATAATTCTTAAATTATCATATTTCAACAATTAAATATTCTTTAGTTAACAGATTTACAATACAGATTCTCAAGCATCTTCAATTATATATCATATTTTACATATTATATTCATCATATTTTAATTACTAATTACTAATAATACATATTATTTTATATAATATCTAAATTGAATGAAACATTAAATTAAATTTATACCATTTTTCAATATGTAAAATGTAATAAGGGAGAAAAAAAAATAATTAAATTTTTAAGAAAGAAACAATAGTTCGTTTCAAAAATAAAATATTTATTTAGGGACATTTTTTATTAAATAAAGATACATTAAGTATCTTATGTATCTTTATTTAATTAAGCCAAAGGAGTAAAGAAAAGATTGATTTGATGACAAATCGTTATAATAATTTTTTATTGTTAACTTCAAAACTGTGACGAAAAAATAAATTGTTCAGTGTTTGTTGTATAACATCATAAATTTAATGTTTAAGTATGACAAAAAAGAAAAATATAAATAAGATCATGTTGGTTGGTTTCTCAAAATCTGGTATAAGAAAATATCCCCCAATTTAAATTTCTGCTCGAGACCAATTAATAATACTTAATTAAAAAATATTGGAATTATTATCATTTTGCTGGCTAAGAGTTGAGGGTTAAATTGTTTTACATTTTTGAGATATATTCTATGATCCTGAATTATTCTGAAACAGGTTTCTCGAATCGGAGGAGATGGGATATTTAAGTTCCAACCTTTCATTTCCCATTTAGATATAAGGTTAAAAAAAATTAGACAAATATATAAATTTGAATATAAGTTTGGATATTTTAAGTTAAAACCAGGGTTGCCAGATCTCCCACTTTTGGCATAATTTCCCGATTTTTTTAAACTTTAGTTTATGCCAAAACACGCCGTCTATTGCTTTATGCTTTCTCCTGATTTTTATGCTTTCTTCCAATTTTTTAAATATAAAATGATTAAAAATAGCTTAATCAGAAATTTAATCTAACATAAAAGTCATCTTAAGTATAATATGCAATACAAAATTTTAATATCAACCATGGAGGACTCCATGATGCAAAACAAAAGCATTCATCAAGGCACAAAAAATATTTTCAATTTACAAAATAAGGAATCAACAAATAATATCTAACCATACTTCAAAAACAATAATTTATGGGATAATAATACAGCAATAGCCGAAAACGACATTCATCTCCCACACGACAAAACATTTGTTTAGTTATTTATCTACAGATTGCGCTAACAAACCTATTGCTTATACTCCTTCCTTATTTAGCCAGCAGAAGCATATGTAGTGGAAATGAAAGTCTCATAGAAAAATTAAAAAAAAAAATTATAAACGATATATTAGTTGTGCTGTATTATAATTTTTAAGGAAGGTAAAACTAAATTACATAATCATAAAATTATGTTTCACACCCGAGTACACAGTTAATTGACTTTGGTTTACAAATAACTATGATACCCAAATTTGTGACCTCTATAAATCCTATCCCATCCTGTAAATCAGTTCGAAGATAAATGATACAAAAAGACCTATACCGTAGATTGGAGGGAAATGTACAGACAAAAGAAAGATGTTATCATATTATCATCCCATAAATGAGTGCTGCAAAGAACGTTCCAGAATAAGAAGTATCAAGAAAAATTCCATGGTTGATGGGTTTCACAATCGTCTCGTTTATGGCACATGAGCAGTGCGATATCCATTACATGCATTACAACCTTGGAAAGTGAGGGTCAAAATCTCGAGGTTACAGTTAATCATCAGGTAGAGGCCTTCGATGAAAGAGGATATTCGTTATTCTTCAACATGGAGCCTTACAAGGTAATTTTCCGGAACCCGACCCCGACTTTCAATTTTGATGCCCCGAACCCAGCTCGAGCAAAAAATTTTATTCCAGCTCGATCCGATTTATAAAACTATTTTGGAATTTGGATCCTATGAACAATTTTAAAACTATAAAAAAATTCGAGGATAGTTAAATTTAATAGATCCTGGATGTATATAAAAAAAAGTATCGAACGAAAAATATTTCGTAACTGTTATTACAAATTAATATTCCCAGATTCTATGTTGGCTAACAGTAGAATATAATACATATTTTATTTTACCTAAATAGAATGTGAAGTAAATGATAAGAGTTTCAACTAGTCACAAAATTGCGCATTTAGGAAAACCTTTTGTTTGGGGAAATGGGAATTACGTAAAGGAATGAATTGACATGTTTAAGATTAAATATAACGTATGATTTTTGATTTGACATTTCGCTGAAACAAAATGATTATTGAGCATATTTTTAATATTTTACAGCCGGCCTCTAGCCCAAGCCCGAGATAAAAAGTCGTCCATTTTCGAGCCTCGCCTGAAGCTCAGGTCGGGCAGCAGCAAGCCTCTCTATCTGTACATCACGAGACAAAAATAATATCAACTGACCTTTATTGGTTGTGGCTATCGATGTCAACTGACCTTTTTTGGTTATGGCTATAGATGTCAATTGAACCTTTTTGGTTGTGATTATCGATGGCGGAACTGGATTGCATTTGCACAATTGGCACCCATTGGCATCGTTAAGCAGGCCATACATACATCGGATGTCGCATGGGATGATCGAACATTCTATATAAAACATCTTAATTAGGTATTCCCTTGTGAAATGGTAAAATATTTTACAAAAATAATTTGTTGTTTTATGCATCTTCTAACCTACCATTATTGCCTATTTGAAAAGAACTTAACAACTAAAATTGTGATAATCTTACTAACGGTCGCATTATGAATTATCACTGTCCGATGAAATACAAATATTAGGTTAATTGAATTATAAAACTTTGAAAAAAAAAGATAAAAAAACAATAAATCTTCTTTATAATGTGAGTAGTATTGTTAAATAATTTACCGTTTATGATTATTAAAAAAACGACTAATCAAGACTTTAGCCAAAATAATATCGCCTACCTCTAAGAGATTTTGCATGTAGATGGCAGAAAGTGAAGATTTGTTCCTCCTTTGACCAAATCTCAAAAAAAAAATCGGCTAAATTTAAAAAAAATATTGCCCAATGCCTAGAGATATTTCCTGTGTAAATAGCAGAAAATGATAGTTTGCTCATCCTTTAAATGAAATCTCAAGTCATATATATTCATTGACTAAATTGCAGAGTTGTTAAAGGATCTGATACAAGTATCTAGATCCTGTATCTAGATATAAAAATGTGGTATGTATCTAGATAGATTTTTGATTAAATAATCTGTATCTAGATATTATTTTAGACGTTGTATCTGTATCTA